TTTGGAGAAGTTACCAAGAACATAACCGCATCCGAGGTCGGAGTGGAGGCAACATAGCCATTCTGTTTGTTTTTGGATTGAAGTTTACCTTTTTTCTTTTCGTTTGAATCCTGGTCTTGGTGGCGTTTGTGTTTGGTTAAAACAACGTGGACGTTCACCAACCTCTCTTAAGTTGAACAAGATCGTTCTCAAGGTACACATTGCTGTTAGATCATGATTCTATAATTTGGTTCGCGAGTGATTTTTGCATCAGAGTTAAAAACTGGCATTATCAATTTATCAAAAAAAAAAAAAGGTATACGACAGCTTACATAGTAATTGTTAGAGAGTAAAGGCATTTTCTTCTAATGACGATATTATGTGTCTTGAATGAATATTATACAAAACTCTGTACATTGCTTTAATCATCATTCGATATCACTGTAAACTGCCAAATGAGATTTAATAAATACTACGGAGATTTCAATTCATAATGTAAAGATGATCTTATCATTATGTATTAATATTCATTCAGGCTATCATGCTGTGTGCTTCATAGCATAAAGAGCATGTTTTTTTAATCTAACAAGTGCACAACATGGTAAGCTTTTCTTTTTTAATTAATGTCGTCAACCCTGTTAGTAAAGTCATACTATAAATATGATTTGTATTATTACATTGCTGCCTTATTTCTCTTTTATTTATATTTTGAAAGAGTAAAAGATGAACATTGAAAACGAAGACCTTGAATATGTAAGCGTCGTACTTCTACGTTTATTTCGAAGAAGATTACACACTTTGACGTAATATGATCAATATATATTTCGTATATTAACCAGAGTCATATCTTCTACTTGGCATTAACATAATACCTCGTATTAGGCCCACAACACTGATTCATGGCATCTATAATCTATAGCAACTGGCAACAGTCGTATTAATATAATTCACTTTGTTAATAAAAGGCTTACAAGGAGATACATTCTATCTTGCTGTATTTCTAATTTCCCGAGTTAAAACAACTATTCATCCACAATATCATAGTAAGTACGAAAACTGAAAAAAAATATTGTGCCTTATAGTTATTTTTTATATGTGCCAGAGAAAATGCATCATCGCAATAAAAACAGCTATAAAAAGTATATGGAAACCTGAATTCCAGAAGACATTACATGAACTCGTAGGTGTTACAAACACTCCAGTCACACACAGGTTTGTCGAGCATCTACGAGCAAAGGCGAAAGTAGAGCTGATATTGAAACATTATTACGGGAACGAGGCGCTTGATGCTGTGCCGTATGATTTCTCTGAGCCTGTTGATTTCAAAGTAACTGATAGTGGTGACTTATATTATGAAAATTGATTATTATTCATCACTCGTATCCGTGGATTACTATCAGATGTTGACAGAAACATTGAAGGATGCTCGTCAGCAAGAATCGATATTGATGAATTTCTCTACCATTTGCAGCTTTTATTGCCCATTCATCACCTGCGGAAAAGATTAATAGAAATAAAAATTAACCAGCTGTCGTATATCATCAAAGAACCACTTGACTGGTTGAAAATCAATGGAGTTGAAACGACAGAAAATTCGAAAAGAAGAAAAAGGACGTGATGCATGAAGCACACAAAATACTGTAGAAATTGTTCTTACTCTCTTTTAAAAGATGAAGTTTTCTCCCAAGTTGTACCATGACAAGTGCAATGAAAAGCTGGTGAAGAACCTAAAGAACAAGTTTGGGCCGGATGCAGTTCTGGTGATTGGTGATTGGTCCGCACCAAGTATGAAGTTTCATGAATTGGAACTATTTAAGAAAGCCCAGAATCCAAGAAAGAAGCAAAAGGTGAACAGAGAAACAGTCATCTGCCATGGTCTCCTGCGGTAATAACCATTTTAACTTAAAATGGCAATAATAGCAAACAGATTATTAGCTGCAAGAATGTCAGTTGTTTAGAAAATAAAGAAAGAAGGCGTTTATACAACAGAGACACAGCGGCAGTACTTAACTTTGCCTTAATTTTGAAACCATTGAGGGAGACAGGTGCAAGATCGGCGCGCTTTAAAAGGTCAAAGAAAAGAAGCAGACCTGATGACAGTACTAGCTCTGCGAACGAAAAACAAAAACAAATTTAACCACCCTGGTTATCACCAGGACTATTTCATGCAGGTAAAGATCTGCTTGAACAGTCGTCTACAAATCTTTTGGCTCGTGTACACAAAGCAACAATAAAGCATCTCTCTGTTTTTTGTTACACTATTTCCAGAAAGAGACGTCGTGCTGGCTTGTCACTTTTTCGTATAAATTGTATTATAAAAATTGCAAAAATGCGACTTTACTTTCTGAAAAGACTGTACATGTCCCACAGCTTTTAGAGATCGTACAACATAACAGTATAAATTGTCAAATCAATTTTTCTAATCGTCCAATTTTAGGTTAAAACTCTGTGAAAATTGTGAAAACACTGTAAAAAAGTAGCCAACAGCACCATATGACGTTTTCTCTTCATTCCGCCGTAACACCAAGCATGCAATTAAATTAAGTTTGACTTTTCATTGTCTCCATCACCTCCATATGCAGTAACTTACCGATAAACAGGACATTTATGTCGTGATTTAATTTTTCATAAAGTGTGATTATAAATATAGCTATTTTTAGAGCTCTACACAATAAACAATCAAATTACAATAATAATTTGCATGTATAATGGGGAGTGTTTTGTTGCAGCGACTACTTTCATAAACATACTTAATGTGACTACAATAGTGTACATTACTTGTCTTTAAAATGAGTATGTGTTCTTCCTATATACGTGAGCAAAAGTATAGATGAGATAGATAGTCATTTTCTTATACTAGTAAAGTGACCAAAATGCCTAAAGTATCAACCAAGACCTTAATACAGCTTAGTAATCTGGACAAGTCTCCTGTACAGCCTCTAGTGGATTATGAAATATAAAGAGATAGGGTTGATAATAAATTACTTGAATATGTTTATATTCTAAATCTTGAAGCAAAGTTTTGGAAGCAGAGTGAACACGATGCTTCCTTATGAATAGTATTCTATGTTTCTTTGAAACAGTATGCCAGTTCTCCTCCACGGCAAATAGAGGCACAATACTTTTGTGCATATATCAACTTACTGCTTGCCTTAATTAAAGACATTTTTATTATCTGTTTTTCTTTGAACAAGCCCGACACTGTATTAGGGTTATTTTTAGAAAGCCGCATTTATTTATAAATAAAAAAGAAAATTACATTGACAAAAGAAGCAACCGAGGAATATACATAAAAATAGCAGCAATACATAAGAAAAAATATACATAGCACTACTATAAACATAATGGATAATAACAGAAAAAGAAAGAGAGAGAGAAAAAAAAAGCATAAGTATGAATGGGGGGAGTATGAACAAAGAATATATACATAAAAATATAGTATGTATGTGTGTATGTGGGTTGTAGTATATATATGTGTATATATGAATAGTATGTATGTACGTGCGTATGATGGAAAGAGCATATCGTATAAAATGAATGGAGAGTATAAGATGAATAGGTTCTAGACTGATAATGGAGGATAGTGGGATTCTAGATCATGATTACTATTTTTAGAAAATAACACATCACTTCTTGAAAGGTCCGTGCCCGTCAACAAGGTAGATCCTTGGTCAGTAGAAGATGAAACAGAACGAGCCATCTTTGGTGTATCGGGTGGTGAAGGTAAGTCAGTAACAACTTTAGAATGAATTTGAATCTTGGCGAGTTTAGCTGTCTTTCGTCGAGTAACCATATTCTCATACTGGCTTACTTCGGGTGTACGAGTAAAGTGAGTACAGTGTTGTACGCGAAGGTAAAGCTCGTCCAGTGTAATCCTCTTGAGAGGGTCCAAACAGAATATACGTTTGAGAATACGATTGAGCTCATTGGATATAGGTAGTATCTTTAATAGCAAATTAGGATCTTGAAGGAAGGCGCTGTATGTTTCGTCTTCAAGGGAAGCGATGCGCCAAGGATTCCTGCCTGCCGCCAAGTTGATCAGGATGATACCAAGTGACCAAACATCATTAGGTGCAGTCGCATAACCCATCCAGCTGTTCATTAAAAGTCCACCTTGACATTCAGGGGAAAAATAAAAAGTCGAACCACATCCATAATCTGTTGAATATCGATCAGTCGTGGCAAGACCAAAGTCTGCAAGTTTTAAAGTACGCCCTTGATCAAACACTAGGATGTTTTCAGGCTTCAAATCTCGATGATAGATACCTTTACTGTGACAATAGCGGACGGCATCGATAAGTTGCAAGAATACATGTCGGATGAGTGAGTGGTTTCCATAATAAATGCCTCTGTCAATGATAGCAGTAAACAGATCGCCTTCTGGACCATACTCAATCACTGCATGTATCCATTTAGAAGTTTTAGAAGTTTTTATAACCTTTTCAAGTGGGATAATGTGCGGATGTCCCGAGAGGTGGGTGTGTATCATAATCTCAGTTTGCTGGAATGACAATTGATGAGAATCAGGGCCAGGACGAGGTAATGATTTGACCGCATATTCTTCTAAAGTATAAATATCTTTTGCCAGATAAACTTGACCATATGCGCCAACACTTAACACTTGTTTGATCTCTAAATCATCAATGATTGTTCCAATAGGTAAAGCGAGCTGATCCATTGCTATTGTACCCCGTGACTTATTTGTACAAAAAGGAGTAAAGAAAAAAAGAGAGAGAGAAAGGAGAGAAAGAACAGATAAAAAAGTATTCCTTATTTATACTTTTTAATTTGGGCATGAACATGTTGGGCGTTATTTTAAGGAGTAACCAAGAAACGAATCAGTTTCCCTATTTTGAATGGATACGTGTAACTACACACACTAGATATTTGCGTCACTGATAAGATCCCTTTATTCCCCACTCTACGCTCCGCCCCTTCCTTCACCCCTTCTTTTTTTACATAAAAACTTTTAGGATGCGTCTTGTATACTGGTTTATACTCTCTCTTGTTGGCTGTAACTTCTTTACGCTTGCGGAGCCTACTTCTCTACCAGTAATAGATTTTTCTCTTTTTATCTACTTTAGCTCACTATATAACTAGGATTTAGCCCCTTTAAATGCAGAAACAATTTATAAAATTCTCCAAAAAGGTTATAATCATGAAAAACAGCTCATCATCAAGAAAAAACGTCTATTTGAAAGCATCAAAGCTGTACATGGAGAGTCAAGTGATGAACTTTATGCATTAGCTGGTGTGCAGTTGGATGATTTTCAAGCCTTTCAATCTTTTGTCTTGGGAGCATTTCAGATCTATGAACAAACTGTCAACCAAGATCCTTACAAGGCATCTTATGACTTTAGGAGCCCAGCATTAAAGCTAACGTTTGAATTTCAAAGGGCAGTAAAAGTATCTCATCAAAGACTGCGATCGGCATCCTCTGTATCAAACAAATATTCTGAACAGCACGAGCATATGCATGAAAACTCTCACGAAGAAGAGGAGGACGTGGACTCTGTCAAGGAAATAGTCAAAGATATGCTAAAGGAAGTAAGCGAAAATGCAGACCAGTTGGAAGAAGATATGCAGCAAAACATGATTTTATTTTCAGCTGATAATGCAAAGGTGGAAACAGTATTAAAACTTGGAAGAGACAATCCAAACGAGGATATGATTAATGCAATTGTAGATCAAGACAACAATGAATACGTCTTGATGAGGCCCTCAGATACAACAGTGATTATCGAAGGTGCGTGTGTGTATTATTCTACATTCTCTCAAGTGCTCATCTCAAGGTCTTATTCACAGATCTGCAATTGATTCATGATTTCGTCTTGATATTAATCACCGCATTCGTATTTGGCTGGGTTTTTTCTTGCATTGGTTTACCTGGTAAAGTAATGTATCATACAGCAGCACCAGTTGCTATTTTAATAACACTTTATACTTGTGGATATAGCTTTCTTTGGGTACATTCTGGCTGGTGTTATTATAGGACCATCAGGATATAATCTTATACAGGTAAAGCTACACCTATTTAAAGAAAAAGAAAAAGGGGCAGCTGACAGTTGTTAAGGAACTTATCCAAGTGGAAACATTGGCTCAGCTGGGTGTAGTGCTCATCGTGTTTGTGCTTGGTCTAGAATTTTCTTTGGAAAAGATTAGAAAAATGTGGAGAATAGCCCTTGAAGGTGCTGTTACGTTGCTTTTGGTTACCGTATTGTTCTTTCTGCTGATGGCCTATATGCTCGGAGCTGACTATAAAGAGGCTATCTTCGTAGGAGCATGCATCAGCTTGAGCTCGACCGCTGTAGTAGTGAAATGTATTAGGTTAGACCAATTAGATCATCTTTATGGTCTACTGGTTATGCAAGACGTCATTTTAGGATTTATGCTGGTAAATGAAAATGTGAGCTTTAGACATTTTGCATTATCTCATACATCATTTTAGGCCATCATCCCTGCCCTTTCAAACACAGGAATTCAAGTAGCAATTGCCGTCTTGAAGATAACTGTGTCCTTTACGATATTTGGTCTTGTGTGTTATTCCATTGTTAAGTTGATACCTATTGCTCCTCGTATACTTCAGAAGACGTTACCTGTACAGCTTATTATGAAAAACCACGAACTTATGCTGCTAGGCACAGTTGCTGTTTGCATGACCATGTTGATTATATCAGAATATTTAGGGCTAGGCATGGAATTGGGATGCTTTGCAGCTGGCGTCATTATTAGATCACGTAAAGATATGTATGAAACTTCACTCGATGTCATTGAGCCTGTACGCGATTTGTTTGCTTGTTTGTTCTTTGCCGCTATTGGTCTACACACGTACCCTTCTTTTCTAGCCTCTGAAGCTATGCTATTGCTTATCTTAGCTAGTGGCGTTATCGGCTTCAAATTTATTGCAATGTGCATCATTCTATATTTATTTAAATTTGACATACACAAATCCTCTACCATGGCAATTGCGTTGGCACAAGTATCTGAATTTGGGTTTGTGCTGGCATCACGAGCGAAGCAACTCTCTATTATTTCTCGTGAAGTTTACTATCTCTTACTGGCTGTCACCTCAGTTACCTTGATTGCAACACCTCTTCTTTTAAAATTGACAAATCATCAGCAGCCACCTACTCAGACCCACCATGGTTATCATCGTGAAGATCACAGCATCATTTCAATTGTTGTAGCTGATAATGAAAAAGATGCATGATTACCTCTCAACTTTTGTATAGACTAAAAAAAAGAGAGAAGTATCTCCTATTACTATCTTTATACACATCTTCTCCCTATTTATATAATAAATACATAATGTCATCAATATGAAATAATAGCTACGAAAGCAAGAGCAAGCCTCAAAACAACTATTCTTATAAAAAATATATAATATTACCTTGAATATAAAAACATCAAGCGTCATATATCAAATAGGTTTAAAAGGGGCCCTTTCGAGTTGTCTTCTCCTAAAAAAAGACGTTGATGAAATGTAATGATTAATTTCAGCTATATTTTATTAAATAAGTTATAGTATTCTTTTTCTTTTGTGGTATACAAGGAGAAGGAAGAGGAGGAAGAAGGGAGCTAAACTTTGGATATAACATGCTGTGGCTCCTTTACTATCTCTGGTATAATCCATTCCTTTTTAGCATCATTAAGACAATAATAATGACGTTGCTGCTCTAGCATCCTTGATTCACGTATCTTTAACATCATGGATCCATAATTGTCATAGTATCGTTTGAGCTCTCCTACGCTCAAACCATGCCATTTGCCTGTGTCTAAGATTTCTTGATTGTTATCCTTTTCTTTAAAGAGATGAAGTGGATGTATAAGTCCATGATATGTATACCATAATTCTCTTTCATATCTAGCTTTCAAATCTTTGACAATATCGTTCATCTCCGCATTATCTTGCTTAATTATCTCTGAAGCTACAGGGTTTTTATCACTTATTTTAATTGTATAACAGTATCCTTGCCATAGAATTGTAAGAGTATCATTTGTTGTATCATCTACGAACACATCTAATGTGTTGTCATATTCAACTGCCTTCTTTCTTTCTGTCTTTATTTCCTCTTGCTGTTTTTTACTGCTACTATCATCGATCAAGATTCCGCCTACTGATTCAGATAGTTCAGGTGTTACTAATACAGGCACCAACTTGTTACTATTTTCACCAGTCTTGTCTTTGGACTGAGGAGATGCGTATAATACGGCCGATAGCGATCTTCGAATGTTGTTGCGGATCTCTTTTCCATTTGACTGAGTAGCTTCTTTAGCGTCATAACTTGTCTTTATTCTCTCTTCGGGTTTTCGAAATGATTTTATGTATAAACTTTTAGACTTTTGAGTCCGTTTACTACTCTTGTTGTGAGACTCATCTTGCTTTTGTTGTTCGTTGGAAGAAAAAGAAAAGCTCCTAGATAATGAGCTGCTAAATCCAGAAAAAGAGAATCTTTTTGGCTTTACAGATTCCATTAGCACTGTCTGTAGAAAGTAAGCGAAAAAATAGAAGAAAGAAGCTGCAGGGAGACACTAAATATCCTCCTCCTCCTCCCCCATCCTCCTTTCAGTATATCTGTCAAACTTTTTTCCTCTGTACAGCCAATTTAATATCACACAAAATGACTAATTTAGATTATTACACGCGTGAATGTTTTCCTCATTTTGAATAGCTCCGCCCAGGTACCAAAAGTGTATTTCGATATGGAAGTAAATTTTGTTTTGTAAAGCACCATGTATCTCATCTTTTGTAAGCATAACTTACATATAAAACAAGCATTACCTAGGTTAAATCTAGCCTCATTTCAATTAGTAATAGTGAATAGAATATACTAGAGTCGTCCACCGTTTCAAAGTGTAAGTATCAATTACTCTTGTAGTTGTTTATTCTTATTTCAAGTTTTAAACCATGAAATCTACCTTAAATCTATACTCTGCTTTAAATCGAAAATGGTCAATACACCAATGACTAAAAAGAAAAGAAGTCGCATATGAGTTTTATAGTGAGAGTTAATGTTGCCAGTGTAATTATTTATCATTGTTTTTCTAGTAGCTATTATTATTATTGGTACTATAGTTTATTCATATCAGGTGTGATGGAGGGAGTGTATGCTCTACTGTAAGTTCATAAAGTACTATAATGATTCATATCAAACACATCACTTGGCTGAATGGGCTTAAGTTATGATTATTTATGTTCTGTCTTTCATGTTTTCCCCTTGATCTCCTAAGGTCGATATTGATGTATTAAAAACTCCCTTCATAACTTCAAAGCATTCTGAACGGCAGACATATACTTTACAATTATAGAGAAAAGGCTCTATCATAGTTATGATGAATAGGGATTAAATATAATGCTTTTAAATGCATCATCTCAAATAGGATATGGTAGTTTGTTTATTTAATTAATCAAGTAGTTTATCATCAACATACACCAGCCATAAATGATACCAGCACTACAGTATAGACTTGTCACCATTAGAGGCAAGAACTGTAACTGATAAGCATCAAATAGCAAGTCGTGTATTATACTTGTATAGCACTGCAGGAATAAAAATCCAACCAAGTACAATTTCTCTATTCTTGATAAAAGATCCTTTAGTGCACTACGATTCAAATATAAAGTCAGTACAAGCACCTCATTAAAAATAAGCTTACATGTTCATGCTATAGGACAGGCTGGGTACAATAGTAAATGCCCAAAGCAGAGTATATACCAACTTTATAGGAGTTTCTGTGCAGTTGCGTGCTGTTAGATACAATTGATCCTTTATTCCATCCAACATATGGCTTACCTGTAGGTTGAAATAGCAGAGGATACAATGAATAGATACCTGCTATGCTTAATATGACAAACGCTCTTAGATTTAACTTGCTGTCCGTCGCTATCAACCTACAAAGGGTGTTATTAGTGCAACACTCTTTTTTTTTATAGAACTATCCTTTTTACCCATAAGGAATTAGGACAATCATGATGGCCTTTTCATGAACATGCCATCCAAATAAGTAAGTTGCGAATGCACATAATATCAGTGAAGATAAAAAGTTGTTAAAGGTTGGCTTTCTCCATAACTTTTGAAGCACGATCTACGTATGCACAAGTCAGCTTCAAGTTCTCTTATTACATCAACTTACCAGTTGTACACCTGTAGTAAAAATCAGTGTGTGAATGGCCTCAATGGTTGGTAATACAGCAAATTGAGTGTCACCCACAAAGCCTTTTGTCATAGAGCCGATTGCTTCTTCTTTTAATTTCCAGTCAAGTCTCTTTCCAACTTGTAGCAAAAGATGTTTAGATTAGAAGAAAAATAAAATTTATCATTTCTTACGGATGATCAAGGCTCTGTCAGTGGCAGCATAGAGTGCCCAAAGATTAGGTGCCCAGTAGGCATGACATAACCCGCGAGTGAACGGAAAGAGTCGCTGAAGTACATTGGATATTTGACCAAAATAAATGAATGGTCCAAAAGACAAAAGGAATACAGCAATAACTGAACTACCAAGTAAAATAAACCTTTGAAGTGAAAATGCCATGGCTAGCATACTTGAGTATTATACAATCAAAAAGTATGTATATCATGCTCTTACCTGGACTATCTTGAATATAGCAGTAAGACTTTAGCAAGTAAACAAAGTAGGCAGGCGCCATATATAAATATATATGCTTAAAGTTTAACAGCACAGCAAACAGTATACCAGACAAGAGCATTTTATTCTACATGGTATAAAAGAGATACTGATTAATACAATGTGAATAATACATCATCTTTTATACTAACTTTCTTGGCTTCCACAATAGATAAAAGCAGTATACCATACAAAATTCCATTATACTGGAAATGAATATGATCTACTATGATAACCCCTGGATGCATAAGTATAGATCCGGCTATGACCCAGTGTGTATATTTGTTTCCAAAATATTTCGTGTATCTATAAAAATCAGTTCGCTTGTTTCTCAAATGCTTGTCAAATTAATCAATCACCTTGATAACGCCCAAAAAAGAAGTAGTTCACTGACAATGACAGATAATCTCTGAAATATGACAGTTTCATTACTTGCATATTCAAGATTTTCAATTTTTAACATCTTGGGATCCACGAAAGCAGCAAAACAACTCAATAGCTTCTCAAACCATGCAAAGAAAGGAGGATAGTCAAGTGTCCATTCAGACGTTTTCTAGGAGATATAACTGCTCAATTCTTGTCTAATACTTATCCATCACTTTTACCTCAAGATACCATTGATTGATTGGTAAACTGTGTGTTATAGCTAACCAATTTCGATGAACTTCAAAATCAGTCGATCGACTACATCATCTGAATGAGAATGACATTTTCTTCGCCTGTTGATATTTTTATCAATAACTCTCTTACTATGCTGGTATAAGTAATAGCTTAATGAAAGTGCTGATTATGAGTAAGTTTTGCATGTTATAAAATCAATAAAAGGAAACAATACGCGTTATCACAAAATGAAAATTTCGTTGTATGACATAAGTTACTAAAAATAGATGTTTACTGTAATCACTCTAATATATATACTGGAACGAGTTTCCTACCATCTTTTATAGCAAGAGATTGTTTCAGCAATTCCTGATAGACACATGGGCTATTTGCGATCAGAATAAGCTTGAATGGCTACGAACTAATCAGGGTAGACCTCATGCCGATGTTTACAACGGTCTATCAGACGCCATCACTCAAGATGACCAAGTGGACGCTGTGAGCTTGGGACGTAGATTTATTCTCCCCAGCAGTTATCATGGCGGTCCCCGTTTCATGAGTAGGCTATACTATGACTCCATGGCCATTTTTCGCCATTTTGGGAAGTCGTCTCTTTTCATTACCTTCACGGCCAACCCCAAATGGAAAGAAACCACTGAGGAGCTGCTACCCGGACAAACAGCATCTGATAGGCCTGGCCTCATTGCAAGAGTATTTAATATCAAAGCTAAACACATTTTGAACGATTTGAAGAAGAAACAGATTTTTGGTCGCTATAAAGGGTTGGTACGCACCATTGAATATCAAAAGAGAGGTCTGCCTTATCTGCACTTGCTGCTCTTCCTTGACCCCGAAGGCAATTTTGTTGATGCTGAGAAAATTGATCAAGTAATTTCAGCAGCACTGCCAAACAAAAATATAGACAGAGAGCCCTTTGAGATAATCACGTCATGCATGCTCCATGGACCATGTGGAGATATTAACCCACGCTCACCATGCATGATTGAAGGCGCAAGTGGAAGAGGGCTGCTCTGCTGCTCTAAGAGATTCCCAAAAGAATTTTAAGATGAAACTATCATGCCAGAGAACGGATACCCTCTATATAGACGAAGACGAGTACCTGCTGAGGAACAGAACAATTACTTTTATTCTATAAGGCCACCTGGAAGAGTTGCTTCTGATTTCGCTATGGACAATAGGTGGGTTGTACCATATAACCCGTACCTATCCAAAAAGTACAAGGCACATATAAACGTTGAAATTTGCGCTGGCATACATGTAATTAAGTATGTTAACAAGTACATCTATAAGGGGTCGGATAGAACAACTTTAGAAATCGAAAATAGCCAAGACGAAATAAAAAGTATCTTCAAGGAAGATATATTGGCCCAACCGAAGATGTTTGGAATATTTTCCAATTCAAAACCCACAAAGAAGATCCCACGGCGATCAGCCTTCAGGTCCATTTACCTGGTGAACAAGCAGTCTGCTTTCCCTCAGATGCGTCAGCAGCATAGATTACAACGATTTTAGAAAGAAACAGGACAACGTTGATGGTCATTTTTAACTATAATGCAAGAATTGAAGATGGAAGGTCATACCTTTACCAAGAATTTCCTCAGCATTTTGTCTTTGATGAAAGATTAAAGCGATGGAGACCTTGCCAGCGAGGCTTTGCCATTGGCAGAATGTATCACTGCAGTCCTATTGCAGGTGAAAGGTACTATCTTCGTCTTTTGCTGACTAGTGTCCGTGGCCCCAAGTCTTTTGAGGACATAAGAACTGTCAATGGTGTGTTGTACCCGACATTCAGAGAAGCTTGCGTCGCTCTGCACTTGATCAAAGATGATCGTGAGTGGGATCGATGCTTTGCAGAGGCAAGACTTTTTGCAACAGGTAGTGAGCTACGAAGGCTATTTGTCACTGCGCTCTTACAAGCCCAGTTAAGCAACCCATTAGTGCTGTGGGAAAGATATTGCAGTGATATATGTGACGATCTCTCTAATAAGCTTATAAACCTATTAGGTGATCATTTTACGACTCAGCTCCTCCAACAGACATTCACGAATGACAATCCAGCTATTGACTACGGCCTCCATCTGCTTGATGACAAATTGTGGGGACACGGTAAAAGCTTTCAGATGTTCAATCTACCTGAACCTCTCTGTGATTGGCAATCCTTATTCGGGAGCCATGGTGGTAGGCAAAGAAAGAGATATCCTCTCATTAGAAGAGCCTTGGATTTTGATTCTATTCTGTCCTTGGCCGACTTCAACAGAATGCATAGCCAGCTTAATCAACAACAGAAGGATGTATTTAATACTATCGTCCGCAATACTGAGTCTGATCCTAGCAACAGCCAATTCTTTTTGCAAGGGCCCGTCGGCACAGGCAAGACGTTTGTGTACAATACTCTTTGTAATTATTACAAGAGTAAAAACGAAATCGTCCTTTGCGTTGCCTCCTCTGGGATTGCCGCGCTTCTCTTGCTTAATGGTCAGACATCCCATTCACTATTCAAAATCCCTTTATCTATAGATGAATGCTCCACTTGCAATATCTGAAAGGATAGCGATCTTGCTGGGCTCATCCAGAGAGCAAATTTGATCATTTGAGATGAAGTACCGATGCAGCACAAGTATTTCTTTGAAGCTGTTTATCGCACCTTTCAAAACATCTGCGATGATCCTGATGAGCTCTATTTGCTTGGAGGAAAGCCTGTTGTCCTTGGTGGTGATTTTGCTCAAATCCTACCAGTGATCAGAAGGGGTAACAGGGCTGATACTGTTAGTGCGTCGATCAAGCAGTCATTTTATGGTCAAGGCTCCAGCTATTGAGACTTACGCAGAATATGCGTTTAACAAACCTTTTTAATCAAAGTGATATTGCATTTGCAAGATTTATAGCAGACATTTCATATAACCATACACTTTATGATTCAATTACACTTTCTGACTATATCTGTCAGACTAAACAACTGAATGAATTTATCAACGAAGTCTATAAAGATGAAGAACTTAGTAACTCTATGTCGATAAACAATGGTCAATTTTTTGGTGAAAGGGCCATATTAGCTACCAGAAACGACACAGTTGGAAGAACCAACGACATTGTTCTCGATAAGATGGCTGGCGAAAAGGTTACGCTTCCGTCTACAGACTCTGCTGATGTTAATGAAGCCGATGGTTTACACACTGTTTCTATAGAATATTTACGCAGTTTAAACCCTGCCGGCTTGCCTCCATCTAAGCTTGAGCTCAAAGTTGGCGCACCAGTAATGCTATTAAGAAACATTGTCCCATCAAGAGATCTATGCAATGATACTCGTCTGGTTGTCGTACGAATTGGCAGTTATATGGTTCAGGTTCGCCTTGCCAATAAGCCGCATGGCCCATTAGAGCTTATACCTCGGTTTACACTCTCAACGCAAGAAGGTGGTTTGCCATTCATTCTAACAAGAAAACAAATCCCTGTAAACCTATGCTTCGCTATGAAAATCAATAAACTCCAAGGCCAATCATTAAAGTATGTAGTAGTTGACTTGCGGCATCCGCCGTTTATGTATGGTCAGTTATATATCGCTCTTTCAAGGGTTATCTCTCTTTCTGGCATCTCAGTCCTTCTGCCAGAAAGCTCAACTACAACCAACAATGTTGTCTACCCAGAGCTATTACTTCACTAATATATTAATATATCCACCTATGTAACACATCATATGATCATCAAATAAACTTATGCTCACAATTATGAATGCTTTATGACTATGCCATTCTTTTCAACACATAAACCTTTACGAATAATACTATTAAAATATATACTCTCTATTATGAATAAACAATTTTATGAAACCATGTATGTAGCACTATTGCATCAATAAATAAGCATGCAGAGAGGAGCTGAAGTATGTTGTTAGGCGCACAAAAATTCAAATTTAGCCATTCGCTTAAAGGGTCGTATTAACATTTGCCCTTACTCATCACAAAGGGCGAAGCCCTTAAGCCTGAGGCAGCACGACGACGTGCAAAAAATGAGCGTAGCGAGTTGGAAGCGGCTAATATTATAGACTGAAATAAGAATATTTAAGCCGAAGCTCATAAAAGACAACCTTAACACCATTCGCAATCTGACTGGTTGAATAAAAGTATATCTGTGAGTAAAGCCTAAAGAAGAGGCAACACACATCCTTCAAGCTATATTTATAATAGAGATCATCTTCTGTCATTGTATTCACTGAGTTGTTTGATTCCACACTAAAGCCAATACCAAACGCTGCGACAGCATAAGTCTATTGGACCTGAGAAAAGGACGCGATTTTACTGATTAAATGAGCTTTGATAAATGAATAACAATAACCTCTTTCACTTTTTGCTCTTCTTTTTGCTTCAAATGAAAAGGCATTCTACATCATCCAGCTCAGAGAGACCTTCAAAAGGCGCAAAGCTAAATGAATGTAAAGTATTCAATCTTGTTCATTATCAGTCAATATTTAACATTATTCTGGTATAGGTACAGTAGCACCAACTCAAGAAGTGAATTATTCCAGCACAGTAAATCAAGAGGTGCCTCTTCTTCCTCAAGTAGACCAGGGCTTTCGAAAAAGGTACAACAAAAGATTGATAAGCAAAATGCACTTTTAAAATTCAAAACAGAGCAAAAGGCTCTAAAGGAAGTCAAGCGCCCCTCATGTGGGTTAACAACACACGCGCAATTAGCGAGTAACTTGTGCCCAAAAAAGAAAGCAAAAGTACCTGTTTGCAGCCCTGATGAAAGGGTTGAAAGCTTTGTCATCAAGACATCCTTACCTAATGTTTGTAACAATCAACAATTTGTTCAGCATATCAAGGATCTAGCAGATTATACCACCAAAATTTTGTTTGTGGGATCCCTTTTTGCCAATTTCATCTTCATCAAACTACTCGATGATGGCCTGGCTATTCCAATTATTGAACAAAGTTTATTCACAAATATATTTGCGGTAATGACTGGAAATGGAAAGAGAGCACCAAAATATCTCAAAGAATACTTCACTCTTTTCTGTGAATTGGCAACTGTAGACCGCGACTCTTTAAAAAGTATAATCTATTCAAGTATTCTTTCCATCGCTGGTATGCAATACGAAGCCCTGGTTAGAAACCACATTCACGAGACACACGAACGAAGATCGATAGTGTACTTTCTGAATATAATGTCTGACAACAATTCAAGTAATTGTTGTAAAGAACTTCCAGTGGCTTCCAGAAAAGCCTTGGCATATTTCATTTACAAACAAAAACAAGGTCCAGAGCCATCTTGGCCATCGCCTGTCCCATGCAGTAACTTTTATAAAGAAATCACTGGAAGCATAGCAAGCATGTGGTCTAAATATCAACCAGATCAATGTGATTCCAATACACTTTACTCAAAACCTTACCTGTTTTTCAAGTGGTTCTACTTTCTGTCGCAAGAAGTGCAAAAAAAAAGTTTTTATTATGGAAAACATACCCTCAAAAGTCACTTCCAAAGCGTATGTGTATCGTAAGCTCAGAGAGCTTCCATTCACTGGTGCTTTGAGCAAAAAGAAGTTTAATTCTTTAAGAGAAGAAACATTGCAGTCAATCAATTCCAACAAGACGTTTGTCCCAGGAAAAAAACTAGCCAAGCTTACTCCTCAACAAGTATCAGTAGTTCAACATTTTATTGATACAGTTAAAACAAGAATACAAGATAGTACGTTCACTCCTTCTAAATACACTGACAAAAGAGGATGTCGCTTTTTCCCATTGCGCCTATATATTCCGTTCAGACAAAATCAATCCAAATTGATGCTCAAGCTTTTTGGAGACTGGTGAAACAATGTGGCATACCAAATTACCCGAAAGGGAAGAAAACCGACTGATTTTTACTACCATTTGTTCAATTTTACAAAATTGGGATTTTGTACTAGAGACAGTCTTACGAGTGGGAAGAAGTTTAGGTAAGCTATGTGTAAAATAATAATATAATACAGGCATATCTAATTATCATTAATAGAAACGTTATAACGACGGATGATCATTCAATATCTTTTCCTTTTACCCGAACTGTCAAGAGATCTTTGACAACAACTAGAAGTCCCTCAGATTTTACTAATGACATCCAAAATGGTTGTGATATTTGGGGAGTAGACCCTGGTGTTTCTACAACCTTAACCGCCGTAGATACACCTAGAAGGCAAAGGACAACAAGCTTGGACGAGTATTATCATCTGTATGGCTATAATGATGCAAATTTTATACGAAAGAAGCACCAAGAACAACACACGGCTCAGTTTTTGAAAATTTCTAATTTAAGCTCACTGAAGACATCAAATATCACAGAGTTTGCAAAAGCCTGACAAGAAAGACTTAGTTTGTATGATGATATTACAAGTTATTATAATGAAAATGCCTGGTAAGTGCAAAGCATGATTTTTTTTTACTTGTTTATTTAAGCAAGCAAAATTCTGTAGGTCATCAAAATTGAAGTTTCAATGCTATATTCGTAAACAAAAAGGGGTGCATGAAATCTGCAAAGGGTTAATGCACGGAAGTGTAAAGTATAACAAGAAGGCGTCTACTGGGATCAAGACATCGTCTGCTGAATATAAAAGCAAATATTGTCCTCCTGCTCCTCTTGATCATCCTGACAAGCCCAGAAAAACAATAATTGCTTTTGGCGATGGTATGTTTAACAGCAGCCTGAGAGGAAACAGAGGAGCATCTGTCCGCCTTATAAAAAAGACTCTGCAAAAATATTGCGAAAACCAATTAGAAATATGTATGGTAGATGAATATTTGACAAGCCAAATATGTAATAGGTGTAAAAATAGAAATATGGACAATGTTGTAACTGAGAAGTCAAAACGAAGAGTACATACGATATTGAAGTGTAAACAAAACACTTGCAACATCGTATGGAATCGTGATATCATGGCTGCACACAATATCTTGGACATATTTCTATTCGCTTTAAGAAACAACAATCAGCGTCTTGATGTTTTCATACGTCAAGGTACGTCTAATGGCCAACCATCCGTATGACTGATATGACTCTCTCATACGCCCTTACAGTGTAAGTTGTATTAGCTATGTCTGAATTTAAAAGTGCGAAAACTGTAACTAAACATTTTTGTTAACGTTAAAACGTAGCATCTTTGACTAGTAGATGTTTACTGTACAAAGTATAAAAAAAAAGAATTCTGTATTATCGATTCTGCTGGTTTGTCTGTTTCTCATTAGATAAACCAGACGATGATCATTATATAAAAGAAGATCGCTACACATTCTTTTTTTTCTATTTAATTTTGTCTAATCGGGACATCACCTTCATCCCGTTCTTCTTGGCGTCTTCAACATGAGTTTGCAACTTGTTCCCTGCATTTGAAAATGCTTCAAATAGATGTTTTTGTATTTTTTATTCTGATTACAGTTACAATATACAGTAATTTACAATTAAAAATCAGGAAATTGATCTCGATAGTTCTCTTTTTGAGGGACACCATAAGGATGAAACTCTTCTGGATACTTGTCAAAGTTTGCTGTATCACCACTTCCTTTGATGTGGGGAATATGAGGTGGTTTTATCTTGCGCTGAATTAGCTTCTCGAAGTCTAATGGAGCAAACCACTTATGTTCCATGATATCAAGGTATCCTCTTTTTAGGTTTCCATAACGTTGGCTCAAGTCAGTTGTTAACAAATGCTTTAGTAGGTCCTTTGCAGCTGCATCCATATGTGCAGGATATTTTGGCTGTGTAGTCAAAATTTTTTCGTATAGCTTAAATTGGTTATCATCATAATATGGCGGATAACTAAAACAGAGTTAATATAATTTGTAGTTGTGCTCAATTAGCCGATTTACCCTGCAAGCATTTCAAAAATAAGAACCCCAAAGGCCCAAAAGTCGGCCGCCTTCCCATATCCTTTTGTTTGAATAATTTCGGGAGCAAGGTAGTCAGGTGTGCCACATAATGTCCAAGTGATATCAGGAACTTTCTTGGCAAATCCAAAATCAGTCACTTTTATATGCCCATGTGCATCCAGCAGGATATTTTCAGGCTTTAAATCTCGATAAATGATATCCTTACTATGGAGATAAGCAAGAGCCAATAATACTTCTCCTGCATAAAAACGAGCAACTTCGTTTGAAAATTTCTAAATTTGAAGCATGAGCAACTAGAGTATTATATATAAAGACACATACCTTTGACTTTCTTAAGAAGGAAAAAAGCTCTCCACCTGGAACATAGTCCATGACCATGTAGAGGTTAGCATCATCCTGAAAGCTTCCCCAAAGATTGACAATAAATGGATGTTGAACACTAGCGAGTATAGCGCGTTCATTATTTGTGTGCTCTACCTGTTTGAGCTTTACAATTTCTGCCTTTTTAAGCACCTTGAGCGCATAATATCTTTGATTAATTTTTGACTGAATTAAATGCACTCGACCAAAGGAGCCAGTGCCCACTGTACGCTCAATTTTGAAATCACTTAGTTTTAGTTGACATTTATCCTTTTCGAGTTTTTCACTCTGGTTGTGTTCATCCATAGATAATTGTTCTGTCTGAGTGACAGTTTTTGCTGGTTCATTATCTGCAGCCAAAAAAGAGCCACCGGGTGTTGCAGGAGGTGTCGACGGAAGGTTTTGGGGGCTGACGGATGAAGCTATAAAAAAGTTTATTTTTACCCAACTTTGCCTTTTTTAGAATTGACAGCTTACATGGCTTATGACGTTCCTCTTTAGTAGGAGTAGGAGGTGGTAGCGAAGGCTTCATCGTTTCTCTTGGCTGGGTCTCTGTTGGAGCAACTAAAGAGGGAGTAAGATTGTGTGTTTGTGGTACATGCTCATTGTTGCTGATAACTTACTTGGTGGTGGTTCCACATAGTCATCCTTTTTACCATCTTTGTATCCAAAAAGGTGAGTGGGTAAACTGCTACTTAATGCGAATATTCCATGATGTTGATGATGCTCTTCACCATCACTGTGATGACGATGATGAAAAGAGAACCTTGGTTTTGCTTTATCGATTATTTTACTAATTGTAGCTGGCATCTTTGTGTATACTATTATTTTTCAAATAACAAACAAAAAAGAAAGAAGAAATTAGTGCTATGATATAAGCATTTCCTGCATGGTTAGATTTTGTTTTACCGCACCAATTCAATGCTTTTGAAGCTTTGATCCACAAAATATCCAATCAAAGTTAATGGAGTTTTGTTTATGCAAATTAAAACTCAACTTGGGCCCATTTCTATGATGTGAGGATGTTGAAATGCTCTTTATTGAAATTCAGTCCTAAAATCATTCGCGCAGGCATAGTAATAATTTATTTCAAAACTAAATAAAGGCAATTAAGCCACGAACAAGCAAAGGTATTGCAAAATTTAAGATATAACGGGAACAACTTGCATTGGATCAGACGTGTTTCCATCCAAGTCAGGAGGCGAGAGAAGCTGGCACAGAAGGTGCAGGTGGAGTAGAATCTTCTTAAACAATTCTGCTGCCTACATTTCTCGGTTACACCTTTTGCAGCCATTAGAGCTTGAGCGAATGAACAAGAAATGTCCACACTGTCATTCTCTGCACTGGATAGACGAAAGGCAGGGAGCATCTTCATTGAGGAACCCTAGCTGGAAATCATTTTTCAAGCGGTGTCAGTCCAGCTACAGCTCTTGCCTGACTCACCTAAATACTTGACGGGCTGACTTACACGCACAGACGCTCAAGGAAGGCACTTTAAGAACAACCTTCGTCAGTACAATACTGTCATTGCTTTTACTTCTTTGGTAAGCATAAAACGATAATACGTTATTTTTTATTCATCAGTCTTCTAATTAAATAATGTATAATGATTCTACTTGTATGATTTTATTGTCTAAGAGTCTAATAAGTGTCTAAAGTCTATTTCTGATATACTTTTAATGAATTAATATCCCAAAAAGCAGCATTGAAGCTATGAGGATTATTCTTCACATATGATTTGCAGTCTAAGGGGCAGTGGTAACTTGAAGAAATGCTTGGAATACCAGCCAAATCACCACAAAAAGTAAGATCAAGGACTATTCTCATATTTTTGAATGCTTCATGCCGACAGCTATTTCCAAATGGAAAGTCAGCGGTAGGGCGACCCCAATTCTTGAATGTGAGTTTACCAGACTTGATATCTTTTGGAATCGAACGTCGAGGGAAGAACCAAATTTGAATACCTGTCAACTTTTCCCAGCGAACGGCGTATACACCACCGCCGTTCTTATTGAAACCTCGACCCACTGAGTTCTGCTTTGAATCAGATACACTGCATCCATGATTATTAGGTTGATCGGAGGCATGGACATCACAGTTTCTATATTTGGAAGCAGCACCTGTCATAAATTGCTTTACACCTTGCATGCTACATTTATTATCTGTATGAAGCGTAATGGTATTTCTTGTTTCATTATGAATGCCTTCAATAATCTATAAGCCACACAAAAGAAAGGTCAATATTAAATTAAAGGGAACTGCATTTTGACTTACGTCTATTTCGCCATTGTTTGGCCATGTCTGACCAAGTAACCAGAAAGCAGGCCATGTGCCACAACCGGAAGGTATATGGTTTACATCAAAAACAAAAAGACCGGAGCTATAAGTCTTGTTGGAATGGATACGAATGGATGGGCGGCCATGGGGAGCGACTGTCTTGTTGTCTGCTTTCATGATGAATCGATTTCCCTTAACAAAAGCAAGGCCTAGTGATTTAGCATGCTGCAAGTCTTGATATTGAACAAATCCGTTTGTAGGGTCTCTTTCGTGAAAGAAAGTGAATTGTTCAAGAAACTTCTTGCCAGTGTAATTATCCTTGAGTTTATATTGACATAAGACAACTTGTACCAGAAAAACAAAGACAAAAAGGAGTGAAATGTCTGTTTTCATATGCTTGACAGGGGGTAAAGGAGGGAAAAGGAGAAAAAGATGCTGTTATATTTACCCTTTAGTCAGGTTATTTATAAAGAAAGCTTGGATAGCACTCTGGATCATAACCAATGATAAGAATATACAACCGGAAAAACTAGGACCAAAAGGTACCGAAATTCAGTAAATTGTATGTTTTAAAAGAGTAAGAAAGCGTCATTCTTAAAGATGAACTTGGCTACAACAGTTACTTCATTACAGAGTGATGCTTAAAGCTGAAAGAATACAAATATGTCAAAGCTGTTGAGAGACTATGCCACAGTAAAATTTTTTTTCTGTTTTCTTTTTTTTTTTTCTTTCTCAGAAATCAGGTACACTCAATTCAGGCCAAATAGCTAGCATCTTCCTATTTCACTTACATAATCATAATATTTATCCATTCATTATATTTACTTGTAAATTATTTTGAAAAGCATACATCTACTAGCACAATCAGTCAGGTTACTGTCACAGGATAGCCTACAATATCACTACTTTTTTTTTTGGAGAGTATACACATGTGTGCTTTTCTGGATAAACTATATAGATTGGCTCCATGGTTACACATTGGTCTAGGAATAATGTTCTTAATCATTGGCTAGCAGTCACTTCCATTTTAAATCCCACAACATCTCACCTGCTTTCTTTCTTCAACATGACAAAAGTATATACAATTGGTGTAGGGTAAAGAGTTGACAATAAGAGTTAGTTTAATAGGAATCATTTTTGAACATGCTTAATCATCTTTAGAGGCCCTTCTTGCTCAGGAAAGACGGTAAGTCTTTACATATCTAAAAGTAGAAGGTTACTTGATATTTTTTGTTGCTAGACAATCACACGTATTCTCAAACGAATACTGAAAAATGTTACTGTTATCTATCAAGATGATTTTTATAAAGTAATATCAAATATATGTTATACAATATTTTGCTAATAGAAAAGCAGCCCGACAAAGAGATTCCTATTGATAAAGAAACCCAACTAGCAAATTGGGATTGTCCAGAAGCAATAGAATTTGATAGACTATTAGATGTTTTATCCTTTGCCAAGAAAAATAAGGGAAAATTGCCTGAAGGATATGATTCAAAAGAAGAATTAAATGTTCATGATGGATCTAACCAATTGGATGACCAGGCAGCGATAAAACTACAAGAGATGCTTTCGTATCTAGTAAAAGAAGACAATCATTTTATTATAGTCGACGGGTTTATGTTATATTGGGATAATAGGGTGTACCAACACTTAGACTGTAAGATATCTCTTACAACGTCTTATGAGACTTTGAAATCTAGAAGAGAGCAAAGACAAGGCTATCATACTGCTGAAGGGTACTGGATTGATCCTCCAGGCTATTTTGACAAGATCGTATGGTCAGAATACCTTCGACTAAGCCAACATGATCGTTCACTCAAAGACATTGTCGTTATCGATACAGAAAACAACTCAATAGCTCAGACAGCATTAAAAGTGGCAGATGGTTTATGTAAGCATTTACTTTGAGTTTTTTCTTTATTTATGGTACAGAAATAAAATTACAATGTGCTATTTTCAGCGACAATAGCCCTAAGTCTATCCAGCAATTCTTTTGGAGGTTCTATTTTAGTTTGGTTTGGCGCCTTATGCCGTTCTTCCGCTAGCAGCGCCACTGCATTATGTTGTATACTTTTTTCGGTTGTAGGGATATTACGGGTGTTGTGATTGCTCAAGAATACAAAGGCTTCCAATGCGGTTTTGGTATCCTCTAAGTCAAGAAAAGCAGATACAAGGGTATATAGTGTGTCTGAATTGGGTTCTATTTTTGTAAGGTCTTTTAAAAGTAAAGCATAAAGTTTCTTTAATAGTTCGAGTTCATTTGGTCGTTGTTGAAGTGTGTCTACATCTGGAAAATGCTCTACTGGTTTCATGAATGATTTAAACATGACATTGTACAGTTGTATGATAGGAGAAATACATCGTCTTCTCATTTCAAGAAATTTGTCAAAGATGGATTCTTTTGGCTCGCCATAATCGATCATCATCTGGATATATATCCGATAGCTATCCGCATCTGGTGATGGTATCCCTCTTTCCCACTTTTTGGTTTTTCTTACTCCAAGCGGTTTATTTCGTGATGGTCTATTATTCGGTGCTTTCATATGCTCCAGTATTTCGTGTACTTTATTCCTTTGTCCATTTCGAGCATACGCTGTCAACAGCGAATTCCATAGCTTCACATTTCTCAGGTCGTCTCTCGATAGATTCTGAAGCATATCGCGCTTTATGTCATCTATGCCCCCAATGTCTCCTACATTACCGACCAGGTTAAATAGAATAGAGTATGTATATTTGTCAGGGATCAACCCTCGCGCTAGCATGTCGTGATACAGTTTCTGTGCTGTACGGAGATCTGGTATTCGACTCGCAATGCCGATCAAGGCATTAAACGTATCTACACTTGGCTGAATGGCTTCCTTTCGAATCACTTCACCCTTTGCATTCGTAATCTCTGCTTTCTGCATCTCTTCAAACACTGCGAGTGCCTCATTCAAGTGATGAGATTTGACTGTTTTTAGAGGACGCCCACCTACCCAGCTGATCAATGCATTATAATCTATCAATCGGAGAGGTATGCTCAACTCTTTCATGTCATCAACAAGCGCTAACAATCGATAGTAATTTGTCAAAGTTGGAGTTGCGCGTACGGTGTAAGTAAATAATTGATAATAATTCTGACTTGTCAGAATGTGAAGTAGATTGTTGTCATAAAGGTAAGTATACAGGGGCCAAATCCGTTCAATGTTTTGTGTAGAAAGTACTCGATAAAAGTCTGCCAATGCCAAAGCTTTACTGTGCTTCTTTGTTGAATCATGTTGCCTTTCAGCCCTTGTTGAGTCCTTGTCGTCAATGTCGCCCGTCGAGTAAAATCTTACAAGCTGTTTAGGAGAAAGTGGATACTTTACAAGCATTGCGTTGTTATTTTTCAGTAAAATTCTACAGTATATACATTTCGTCTGGCTAGGCACGATATTCAGTCGATGCCAAAGCCGCTGCATGTTAAATTAGCTTCCTTTGCGTTTTATTCTGTTTTAAGTTGTGGCAAGCTAACAAACAGAAAACAAGCCATACCCCTTCTAGGAACGTCACAACGTGACCATTTATATTTAAACTCAGTTAGACATCGTTCACGTTGCCAAAACATTAAAGATGTGGTTACGAAAATAGAATTGTGGGTTGTTCCTTTCACAATTGCCATGTGGTTCACTCCGACTTCGGATGTGGTTATAGGCTTTCGGGTCGCGCTTTTATTGTCATAATTATATAAAAAAACAATTTTTCTACATTCTAAATCCGTTATACCTTTCAAAGCCGCGCATCGTGGTGTAACAAAATGTCAAATGGATTATCTCAAGAAGAAATCAATGAGTTGCGAGAGCTCAGAGAATTACTTAAACGACAACAAGTTCAAGATGACAAAGACGAGCCGAGAAGCCTTCCAAATGAAGTTCGCTTGGAGATGGAACAAGCTCCCCCAAGTCAACCCAAGAACAAACTCAGACAATATGCCAGGAATACCAGCAAATATGAAAGAGATTCCTGGACAAAGAGTGAAACGGTCAACCGAGTTTACCTTCCAGAACTCAAGAATACAACGCTGATGCAGTGCAACACATCAATGCGATCAGTAAGGGAGCCGACAGGCTTAGGACAGCAGCTCGAGGAGCAACAGAGCTTTTCTCAGACATCCAACAAACCCTGGGGAACGGATGTGACGAAAACACCATGGAAATCATCTTGGAAAGGGCTCGACGCTTATCAGTATACTGCTGGGCCACAGGCAAAGAATTGGACAGAGATCAAAGATGCAAGCCAATTTTCTATTAAAGCTCTCAGATTGCCCGACAATCTCAAGTACCTGGAAGAAGATGACGATGACGAAGACAAAGACTACTTCTTCGACACCGACACTATTGAGAAGATTCAAAGAACTAGATTTGAAAACTTAATCATGCGTAAACAACAAGGAAACTACCATCAACGAGGACATCAACATGGTGGATTCTCCAAGAACAAGGATAGTGGAAAGAGTTTTTTTTCCGGGAAGGGCAAGTTCAGACTCAAGCCAAAACCAATAGGAAACAACCAGGAACAGCCAAGGGATTCGGCCAAGGAACAGCGAGGCAAGCATTCACCCAAAACTTCACTTAAACAAGGTGAATCAGTATAAAAGAAAAAAGACTAAAAACATTAGAAAATTTAAAAAACGATCCAAAAATAGATGCTCATTATTCTATACCAGAAGATGGCATCCCGCCAGGTGGAAGACTTCAGGTGTTCCAACAAAATTGGAAAAGGCTAATCAAACACAATTGGCCCTTATCCGTTATCAAGGAGGGATATCGAATCCAGTTCAAACAACCCATACCCTGGAAGGAAAAGACGTTCAGAATGTCCAACAACGAACAGGAGGCAGTCAATACGGCAGTGAAGTCATTTATCAACTCTCAAATTATAGAACGATCGCCAAATCAGGACACTCGTTTTCTCTCAAACTTGTTCACAGTTCAGGAGGACACCAAGGTTCGACCGATATTAGATTGTCAGAAGATCAACCAGTTTGTTCAATGTCAACATTTCAAGATGAAGGGTATTCCAGTACTGAGGGAATTGATAGAAGAGAATGACTTCATTTGCAAGATAGACCTGAAGGATGCGTATGTGATAATGCCCGTTCACAACGAGTCCAGGAAATATCTTTCTTTCAAGCATCAAGGTATTGTATACAGATATCGGTCTCTGGCATTTGGATTGAGTGTAGCCCCAAGAGTGTTTTCAACATTAATGCGATTTGCAATGGAAGCCATTCGAGCCAAGGGTATTCGAGTAGTATATTACCTGGATGATGTTTGTTTATTAGCAAAATCGAAGGAAGAGATGAATACCGATGTGCAGGCGGTACTCAACCATTTGACGCAACTAGGGTTTATCATCAACTACAAGAAGAGCGACTTGGAACCTAAACAATCGCAGGATTTCCTCGGATTTGCGTTCAACAGCCACAAGATGGAAATTCGTGTGCCACTAAAGAAGATTTCCAAACTAGTGAGCCGAGTTCGTTAACTGAAAAATGCGACAAGGAAATTCTCGTGCAGATGGATAGCGAGGTTATTAGGGAAGATCACAGCTATGATACCGGTAATGGGAGATGCACTACACAGAGTACGGTTTCTACAGAGAAATCTGGCCCGATCATTGAAGATTCAAGGATACAACTGGGAGAAGAGCTGCAAGACATCGACACAAGCATGGAACGAGTTGAACTGGTGGATAGAAAAGGCAACATTAAAGAACGGCCTGCCCATATGGTCAACACAAAACGACAAGGAGACGAAAGTGGAGATATATATGGACACCTCAGACACAGATTGGGGAGTAGCATCAAACCAAATACGAACAAACGGATTCTGGTCCCAGGAAGAAAGAGAAACTTCAATCAATGCAAGGGAGTTGAAGACAGTTCTGTTTGCGATTCAAATGCACGCAGGAAGAAACCAAGGCGAGCTATTTCATATTTACACCGACAACATGACCGCTCTAAAGCATACAAAGAAGTCGGGTGGGACAGCATCAGTCTTGTTACAGTCATTGACGTTGGACATACAGCAGCTTATAATAGAGCACCATCTTCAGGTAAGGTACTTTCACGTGCCAGGGGTACAAAGTATAGAAGCGGATAATTTAAGCAGATGACAGAAGCCTTTTTACGCAAGGACTCTGCCGAGATGTTTTTTCAGAATACTTCAACAGAGATGGAAGATGGACCTGGATGCCTTTGCGTCAAGGGAAAATACCCGCCTATCACGTTACTGGAGTCGAATGCCCGATCCGTCTGCCCAGGCTATCGACGCCTTCAAACAGAGGCGACCTCAGAAGGGCCTCTACTTGCGCCCTCCATGAAAGTTGACTCCACAGGTGTTGAGGAAACTACAAGAAAACAAGGTGAAGACGGCGGTGATGGTGACCCCAGCTTGGCAAACACAGTTCTGGTGGCCATTGATGCTTCGTCAATGCTTAGAAGGTCCGATCAAAATGCCAATCAACAAGACTTGGTGTTTAACCGCTTGGAGATTATCAGGGCACATCAATGGAAAAAGGCAAGGATGTCAAGCAGTGTAGGTGACTTTCTGTCACACTCGAACAAGATCAATACGCACAACAACTATGATATTCAATGGAGAAAATGAGCAGAATGATGTGTAAGACAAGTACCAAGAATAGATCCTACCGCATACAACCCAAGCATAGTAATAGAGCACCTAGTTTAGAACAAACAGTTTTCATATCAGCATCTCAACGGCATTAGATCAGCAATAGCATCTGTATTTCGAGTATTACATTCCGACAAACTATCCTTAGCATCTCATGAAAGGATTCAACAGTTTTTCCAGGCAAAAAGGAGAATCGACCCAAAGCTCCCCAACTATACGAAGGAGGTATACAGTCTGACACCTATAATCAACATGATAAGGTCTTGGGGACCAACGAAGGGCCTTAGACTAAAGAGGTTACAAGAAAAGACGGTTTTACTTTTAGATATGGTGACCATGTGACGACCAAGATCTGACCTAGGCAGATTACAATATAAGGATGTACAATTTGAGATAGGCAATGAGCAGAAGATAATTGTTGTCACTCTATTAGCCAGGAATCCCAAGGAGATCACTCCAAAACAATCCAAGTTAGGAGTCATTGACGAAGAAATCGTTTGCCTAGTGAAGACGCTTTGGTATTTTGTTGAATGTACTAAGGACAGAAGAACTCATCTACCTAGCACCACACCTTGTTCTTCACCTATATTGAGGATGACGAATTTTCGAAAAGTTCTTCAGTCAAGGACAAGACAGTGGCTCAATGGATCAGCAGAAGCTTAACCACCGCGGGTATCGACCCTGATAAATTTACAACACATTCGATCAGAGCAGCAGCAAGCACATACGCAGTACAGCAAGGTGCTTCCATTCAAGAAGTGAAGATCCGTGTAAATTGGAGTTTAAATGCAGACACGTTTGAGAAATATTACTTAAGACCAGCTAGCAGAAGACAGCAAGGACAAAGGATAAGCAAGCGAATTTTAGAAGATACTGAAAAGAAAACCACATCCGAAGTCGGAGTGAGCCACACGGCAATTGTGGAAAGAACGACCCACAATGGCCTAGTTGGCGAAACGGAGACGGAGGATGTGGTGGGTGCCCGCCCTTGGTACCAGTCCTGGTGGCCTTCTCCCAGCCCTGAATTGCTCTAAAATTCTTAGCAGCTTTTCAGGTATAAGGGACTTAGAATGTAGAAAAATTATTTTTTTTTTTTATATAATTATGACAATAAAAGCGCGCCCCGAAGGCCTATAACCACATCCTCCGTCTCCATTTCGCCAACTAGGCCATTTTTGGAAAATAAAAATAGAATTTTTAATCTTGACAAGAGAAATTTTTGTTAAGCGATAGAAATTTTTATTGAGCAATAGAGTTTCTTGAGGTCAATAGAAAAAAATTATTAGCAGTTGAAAAAAAAACCAACAGTAGAATTATTGTAAACCAGAGGGCTAACACAGAAATATATATCTCAAGAGTCAGAAACGCATACATTTCCTGAAACCTTTTCCAAATCTGTGAGTTAAATTCACTGTATCACTGTTTAAAACCCAAACATAAACGTCATCAATTATATACAGGTGATCTATCGTAGGTCACGCAATTTCAATTAGTCATATTACGTGGCGCCAGAGTTTTTTTTTTCTTTTTCTCTTTGGATATTGTAGTTGGCAAAACATCGATCAGCCCTCTCTGTTCACTTTTCAACAATGTGGACATGAAGACTATTGACCCCCCTGCCAAGTTTTGAATTGCTCCATCGAAATTAGAAAGAATGTATTTTGCCTTTCTTTTTGCATTTTACAAACTTTTGTATAGCCATTGACTTTGGACATTACAAAATGACGATGCTTGAAGGAAGCCTAACCTTTACTTCAACATCGCAGGGAGTTTTGTTATAATAGGAGACATCGATCAGCTCTCTGTTCATTTTTCAACAATGTGGACATGAAGACTATTGACCCCCCTGCCAAGTTTTGAATTGCTCCATCGAAATCTATAGAAAGAATGTATTTTGCCTTTCTTTTTGCATTTTACAAACTTTTGTATAGCCATTGACTTTGGACATTACAAAATGACGATGCTTGAAGGAAGCCTAACCTTTACTTCAACATCGCAGGGAGTCTTCTTAAACTCATGTCAATCGGATATTTTACGCAGGTAAAACCTATTTCTACATGACGATTTCTAATGCTATTGTAATATCTTTATGAAATGTATCTGCGTCAAACCAATAATGTCCTAAAGTTCTTTTCCTATGAACTTACTTTTTCAAGACGTCATCAATAAATTCGTTCTTTATTTTGCTACTCAAGATCTTTGTAAATAGTGGGACCAACAAAGAAATTAGTTTAGCAATAATGTGTTCTCGGTTTATTATCATTTATTCATTGGAAATCATACTTATCCTAATCATTGTTGCCTCCGTTCCAGGTTCCGATGAGGTGGTAAAGGCTCTTTCGTGCCACGCTTTATTTTCAGATAACATATAATAAAAAATTTTTTCAATTCCTATTTCTTTAGATCTTTTTCGCGCCGCGCACCGTGGTAATAATATGTCCAATGATCAATCTGAACAATTGTTTACAAGAGAACAAGTCGAACAAATCATTGAGGAAATGCAAGAAAACTCAATCTTGACAGATCAGGTGAAGGTCCTACAAACCTTCCAAACGAAATCTTGGAAGAACTGGAGAACAGCTCGTCCATCAATTTACAGAAAAACATCAAAGAATTTGTTAAGAACCTTCCAAAGTACGAAGGTAGGGAATGGACCAACAGTGAGATTTTCAACAAAGAGTTCCACAGAGAACTTAAAAGGAAAACTGTGGATGCCCTCCAAAGCACAAACGCAGTATACAAGGGAGCTGATCGACTTATCATCGCAGGAAGAGCAGCAACTGGCCTTTACGAAGAATGTCAACAATTTCTTGAATCAGGAGGAAGCGAAGAACAGTTCTTTCACATTATGGAAGGCATCAGACAACTCGCAGTTTACTCATACGCCACGAGTAAGACCACCAAAAGTGAAGCTAGGACAATGGCGATCAAGGCGCTCAGGCTCCCCGATAGCGTCAAACACTTGGAAGAAGAACCAAGTGACAAGGCCTTGGCCTTGGGCAGAGAAGAAGTTGAAAGAATCTTTCAAGCCAGATACGAACAGTCCATCCTCAGAAATGCAGTGGGACGACAACAATAATCAATTAACAACAATAACAGAGGATTTGGACGTCAACAGAGATACATCAGGGGCCGTGGAACCTTCCACAGGTCTTTTTTTGGACGCAACAAGGGCCAAATACACACGGAGGCCCAAAGCTCCAGTCAACCCCAATAATACCGCCATCAACGCCAGCGTCTTTCCCCACGACAACGGCGCATTACGCCATACCAAGCGATGGTATATTACCAGGGGGCCGTCTCCAACGTTTTTCAGAGCAATGGAAACGGACAATACTTCATTCATAGCCTGTGTCAGTAGTAACACAAGGATATCAACTTCAGTGGAACCACAAACCTCAACCATGGAAATATACTCCGATGAAGTTCACCGAAGAGGAACAAGTAGCAGTGGACGAAGCAGTGAAGAAATTTCTGAACTCAGGCATAATCGAGCTTTCC